AAGGAAAATAAAAAGCGGTAGGAAAGATGAGAAATCACGAGGATGAAAGTGGAAATTAAAGTGGCAATGGAAGTGGTGATGGAAAAAAGAGGAAGAGTGTGGATGTGGATGTGGATGTGAAGATGGATGTGAAATGGAGATGGGGATGAAAATGAAAGTGGAGATGGGGATGAAAATGAAAGTGGAGATGGGGATGAAAAGGAAGGAAGAGGAAGATAAAAGTGTGGGATAAAATAGAGATGGAGTGGAGATGAAGGTGAAGGTGAAAATGTGTGATAAAATGGAGATGGAGGTGATGAAAGTGTATAAAGTGATATAAAACCGCCTAACAAAATATGTAAATTAGGTTACAATTAATTTCAATATCAAGAGCAAATTATCATTTGATTTCTTCAATTGAGAGGTATACACATACTTTTTATTTTCTGACAACATGCACAAACCAAATCCACTATTTCCAGATAGTATAACTCCATCTGTAATTAGTTAATAATGATAATATTATTATATGTTAATATACTAATTTCAAAAATATTAATTTATTAATAGAACCCATATTTGTTACTAATTTTATACTTACTGCCATTTGGGATAAATAAATGTCTGACCCTTTTATTCTATGGGTAAAGTTTGGTGATGCCTCGCAATAAAACCTCTGGAAGAGGAAGCTGTTTACAGCTTTGTTGGAGACAAATTGAGGAAGTGTAAGTGCTGAGAAAATTTACTTAAGGGCTGAACGCGCGGAAAACAGTTCTTGGCAATAGAGTTGCTCTTTCATTTTACATGACCTTTTATGAAAAATAAGAAAACAAATAAATAATAATAAAATAAAACAGATTTTCTCAATATTTATATATATATATATATTTCTTACAGAATCACCAGAAATGAGTGAAATATTGTTTATCATAACAATAATAAATGATGGAAGGTCTTGCCGTCGAGAGTCTTGAAGTTTCTTGCTGTTGAAAGTGGTCCTAGAGTTTCTTGTTGTGAGAGAAAAACAATAATATTGTTATTTATTATTAATCATAAAATAGGGGTAAAAAGTAAACAATACATTTTTAATAAATCGCCAAGAAAATCATCATTTTTACATCATTAATGATTTAATAATTTTCGCGTTTTTCAAACAAAGAAAACCATTAAGATCCTACCTAACATCTTATTGGCTAATTGATAATAAATATCTTTAATATCTTTAATAAAGCAAGATTTTTGTATTTTTGGTAATGATATTCGTATCCTTACTATCAACTTTACTCTTGGCGTTTTTGGGATCTAAAGCTTCCGGGTCCCCTCTCATTCTTTAGATAAAAACGCGTTATTTATTTGGTATTAAAATAGGATAAGAGAGGGATCCATCATTTTTGGATGACACTTTTTTTTCCAATGAAAATTTATTGAGTCACAAAATATATTATATACTAATAAAGTGGAGGAAGGGGATGGCAAAATTTTGGGCGGGAAATTGTCACGTGAAAGTATATTTTATAAGAGTGTGGTTTGGTCCATACTAATACTGATTTAATTTCGGGAGTCGAAATGGTCATATCACATGATTTATTATAATTAATAATTTCAAAATTATTTATCTTGAGAACCAGTGATCCAAATTTAATAAAACACAGCTCATTAGAATGGTCTCATAAAGACAATTCGAATAATGGTCCACAGCATCAATAAATGGCGAGTTATTGTAAGATTATGGTAAACCAAAATATCTCAATGATCAGTGGTTCTAATTACATCTCATTAGACTTGCCTCATTTAGAGAATCCGAATGATAGTTGTTTTATTCAAAATAGCCAGATATTGACCAAGTTATGAGGATTTGAAGCTTTTGATTAATTTTCTGTATGTTAAGCTTGTTGTATGATGTAATTTTGATCATTTTGACTTTTGATTCAACTTTGATCTCTCAGGTCGAAATATTTCAATTTTTGGGTTCCAATTTCAACTTCATGTATAATCTGTGAGATCAAGGTAATTTTCAATTATTATTTCATTACTCACATCAGTCATTTCTTGGCTTTATGTAATGAAATGTAATACATAGTAATATTTTTATATATGTTAATAATAATAATTATTATATATTTATTATTAAATAATATTTTTTAATATTAGTATGATATTTTTATTTTGACAATATCACTGTTAGATATAATTTTTTTAATATTATAATTTAATAACTAGTTGTAACCCTGTCACTTTTCTGACAGGTTAAAATCAGTTGATTTTAATTTTATCTTATTATAGAGCCCAACTATATATATATATAATAACTAAGGTTTCCAGTCCAAACTGTTTTCTCAAAGCCCAAACTAGTTGGGGCAATTTGGGCTTCTCAGCATTTTTTATAAACATAAACATTAAAAAACTATACCAATCAACTTATTTTAACCTAAACAACTTTAAAGTAATTTCACCCAATTTCGGCTAATAACAAAAAATAGTTTGGCTCATAAAATAGCAATTTTTGTCCAAAGTGTTTTGGCAATTTCAGCTACTAATAAATAGGTTTTCAGCAAGAAACATCAATCACAATTGCATTACCATTGTAATATTTATAGGATTATCTCTAGATAAAAATAATTAATATGAAACTCATTTATATCAGATCTACTGAATTATATTACTATCTTGAAAAAGGAACAAGATGAAAAATTACTATTTTGCAATATTACTCAGATGACATAAATATTTACTAGCATTAGTAATCATTAATTAGTAAGTGAGTAATACAGAAATTAGTAATTAATAAGCATATTTTATTGGACAAAATATTGTAAAAGTCATGTTATTTGCTATACCTCAAGAGGTATATATAATTATACATGCTGCCCAAATCCCAAATCATTTGCAATTATGGTATCCCAAATGTACAAAGTGAATTTGGGCCAGCCTGTCAAGGAATTCCTAAATCCCAAACTACTTTGTACACCCATGGCACTCTGTGTCCCAACCAATGAGTACCTAGAATTTGTGAAAGCAATCAGCAACCCTTTTGTTATATTATATGATTATTGGTTAGATAAGCAGGGCAGAAAGATTGATCTACATTTGGGATTTGTACATTTGGAATGTATAAGTAAGGACGTGGCATATATTTTAGGGGTAAGGTAACAGAAAATCTTAAGTCACACATAATCTCATAAATAACATTATCATTATGGCTTCAGTGAAAGATCTGCATTTTTATAATTTTGGATGCAAAATATTTTAATTTGGGAATGATCTACATGTAAGCCAATTGTCATTTACACAAAAAATTGTATAGTTGGCTTGGTCTAAAGACCTCCTAAATTTTGGGCAAATTTTTAAAGTATAGAAGTCACTTTCTGTCCTACCTTTTAAAAAGATAGCTCTATTAGTTGATAGAATATGACTTTAGTTTTAATGTAATAGAGGGATTTTCTCAAAAAAATTATTTGTTGTGGAGTTCTATCCTTTTTTAAAACATGTACTTTACTATGCTTGCGAGGAATTTGTCCACTATGATCATTTCTAAATTTAGGAAAAATATTGCCAAATTTAGACTAGTTCTTGACTATCGTATCTAAATTTGACAGTAAGAAAACTAAAATCATGTGAAGTCCCATTTTTTGAAAATTTTTATTACAATTTTGAACGAATTACAAAATTGCTATTTTTGAAATTTGGCCACATGGCGCAGCAATATGAGGTCTTTAGACCGAGCCAACCATAGTAATTAATTAATTAATTAGAATTAGTTTAACAAGCAAATGGGTTCTTTTACTGCCAAGAGATTTAGTTAAAAGATATTGCGAGTGTGCAATCTGAGTTTCCTAATTAATGGGGTATTTAATGTTAAACACACAGCCTACCTGCTGACTTACAGTTGATTCTATATGACACAAAGCCTACCCGCTGACTTTACAGTAAGTCAAAGTTACTTTTATATGACACACAACCTACCCATTGATCATTACCTTTATGTGACACACAGCCTATGGTCACTAGGTTCTATTTAAATAATTATATCCCAAAGGCGTCCCCTTGAGATGTATCTGAATAATTAAAAGTAATTAAACTTTAATAAAATTAATTTCCAATAATTACATCTTTAACACAATGGAAAAATATCAACACAACCAGTACACTGTAGCAATGGAATTAAAAAGAAACAATATCCAGCTAAAAAAATAAAAGAATAAAATTTTAGAAACAAATAAATAATGAAACACATTCTAATAATGATAAAATTTTATTCTTTTCAAACAAGTCATCTTAAAAGAAATTGAGTTTACTAATGTCATCAGTGCAATTAAACAACATTAAAGAGAATCAAATTGTCGCAGGAATCTTGATGCAGGATGCTATTCATAAATAGAATGAAAATTTTACTATTTCAGACTTAGAAAACAAGAAAAAAAATTACTTTTAATTTCTTGAAAATGAAAGACTGACTAATAAAAGTTATTTTTATTCTAATTCAAGATCAAGAATCTGAAAATTTACTGGAAACCAACATGGATTTCTTATGAATCTTTACTAAGACAAAGTAATGTGTTAATAATATAATATAGTAATATTGATAATTCATTGCTTATTTTTATATTATGATGATGATAATAAATTGCTTATTATTATAAATCAATTACATTGGTGGAAATATATCAAGAAACACAAACTGATATAAAAGTTTTAGACAAAAAATTGGCTCATTAGGAAATTTTGTAAAAACAAAAAGAAATTTGATGCTGGAAAATCATCTAAAGTTACTGGAAATCATAAAAATGATATTGACTGGATTGAGGTAAGTATTATTAAATATTTGATTTGTTGGTTATTAATTATATTGTTAAATAATTTCATTTAAATAGCCATATTGGAAATACATGATTGTTGATTTGTTTCCAGAAAATAAATATCTATCAGAAGAAGCATTTTGTGAAACTGGAGGACAAGTATTAGCTCAAAGACAACCAGAATGCATGCAACTAATGATAAAAATCTGGTCAATGCGATGCATTTTTCATTCTGCTATTAGTTCAACAGTATGCAATTAAGTATTTTGGTTTAATAAGTTTAATATTATAATAACAATAACTTATTAATATAATATATTCTTTAGCTAAAAGAAAAAATGTGAAAATATAGGGGTGATCGAGTTAAGAAAACCAAAACTGTTCTATTTAATTTTTCCAAACAAATTTCCTAAATTCAATTCAAAGACTGATCCTATTATCATAAGTGAATTCAAGAAGTCAGATAATGCAAAATGGTGTCTACATCATCTGAATTCTAGGATATCTGCTGCAAAACCAACAAAATACATTGTTTATGTTACAGCATCATTTACAAAAGATCAATTGGCAACAGATAATGATCAGTATTTCAATTGTTGTATGCCATTTTATGCTTGAAGAAACAATTGTGGGTGTAACCTTGGATCCTGAAAAATTGGATTCTTTAATGAAAAAAATGAAGGTATAAAATTTATTAAATAATATCAATTTATTTTTAGCTATTGAATTTACTCTCAAAATTTTTGATTTTATAAGAAATGCTTAGGGTGATTAGAATATAGCTATTAGAATTGTTGTGATGCAATGTTATACTAAATGTATTAATCAGTGGAATTTAATGTATAATAGAATAATGATTTTTAGTAAATTCAGTGTATAACTTGATTTATGACTTTTATGTAGATTCCATATATATTGCTTACTATTACATTACATTTAACAATAAAGTTATATTATATAGCATGCTTTTATATTATTTATATTATGTTGATCATTTTTCAATTGTTTTAGAATAAATGATGAGTTGCACTTATGAGGTGGGCACAAGTACACTAAATAACAACCTTTCAAATTTTACAATTATACTCTTTTCACTTCAATATTCCTGGATCCACCTGGATCCATTCGAAGTAACAATTTTTATTTCTTGATTTACAAGTCATTACTAAAATGCCTGTTGGT